GGGGGGGGAGGGGTTTTCTGCGATACTCAAACAACGAACAGAGTACAGAGTACAGGTAATATAGATACTCATGATAACTTAAAATTTCATGAAACCGGAGATAAGCCCCAAGGGCAGTTATAATACTTTAAGGTTGACTCGAGGTTTTGTTGTACCCAAATATAAAGGGGTTACCCTATGAAAGACTATCTGCGCTTGTGTGTGTCATTGTTCTTCTACTCGTATCGCTAGTGGAAAGCCATGCTTAAAAAGCCCTCTTTGACTCCCTCAGTTTTTATTTAGAAAAAAAAGGTAAACGTTATCTAACCTCAGTCCATAACACACACTAGAGACTATACAGCCAATAGTCACGCGACATTAACGTGTTCAATTTCTATTTTTCTTCAGGTACATCTCATAAACGCGTTCCAGAGGTAGACATTGCCTTTGCAATCAACGCCAATGCAGCTGATGCAGAAGCAAACTTCAGGCAAATGAAATCTGCGATCGCGTCCATAATAGACAAATATGGCATGGGTAAGATGAGGTACGGCCTTGTCGTCTATGGAACTAATCCAAATGTGAAAATCAACTTCAACGAAGACTTCCCGACGGATGATGATATTAAAAGGTATTTTAATTCATTTTCCTTTATCATTTTCCAGTGTCGTTGTCATAGCTTCGCCGCATTCAGTTCATTCAATTCATTCATTCGATGCATCTTGGGGGAAATGTACCCTAAAATAGCCCTATGATGCATTGCAATACCGACTTGACCCAGTGTTGTCCTCAACCACGGAATGGTTTATACTGAGTATATATATATATATATATATATATATATAAAGAACTAAAAAATTTATATGTAATGGCGTTTATGATATATTGGTGTTAAATTATTTCAACCGTTTTTCAGTTATATCTCCAACACGCCACGAATTACCACTCCTCCTTCGTTGAGTAACGCACTCGTCTCTGTCAAAGAGCTGTTCAGGAGGGCCAACCGACCGGAAGCAAAGAAGGTCCTCGTGATCTTTTCTGATATAAGATCTTCTAGTGATCCTAATGACGTCATTCAAGCAGCCAAGAACATACATGGTGATGACGTCATCGTTATTGCAGTGCCATTAGGAACCACAGGGAGCCCAAAGGAACTTCGGCTTTCTACTGTAGACAAAGACGATGTATTGCCTGCAGAGAACAACGAAGATCCTAACAAGATTCGTGATCGTATTTTGGACAGAATATTCAACCGTGAGTTGTTACTTAGTAAATAAATTTGGATATCTTGCGACATAGAAAAGAAGTCTGCTGATAGATAGTTATTTATTCAGTTTGTAGTTCAGGGTATTTGACCGTCTGAACCGGTTTAAGGTACGGCAAGGAAGTAAGGAGTTATAAGAGAAATGAGGAAAGAAAGAACGAGGGGGAGGAGGGTTAGCAGTGCCGAAAAAGGTAGGCCAACCCTAGGGAGGAAATGGCGACTTTAAGACTTTTTTTTAGGATCAGACCAACTACCTCATGGAAGTAACTCAAACCTTGCCCCAGAGAAATTTGTACGGGAACCTAGTTCGAAAAAGAAGGTCCTTAGAATAGTAAATTCAACCAAAGTTATCAAAAAATGGTATGGTATCCATAACGTTGACTCATTATTTTAAATGCTTTTACCAGGAAAACCAAATGTCCCTGAAATGGACTTAGTATTCGCCGTCAGTGCTACCGGTACTGATGCTGGCAATACGTTTGCCCAAATGACAGAAACGATCAACTCCATCGTTGAGAAATATGGTTCCAATAAAATCTATTACGGCTTCATTGTCTTTGGATCCAGTGCCTCGGTTAAGGTTAGCCTGGGTGAGGAGTTCCCAAGTGATGAAGAGCTCATGAAATTTATAGCATCAGCTCCACGTGTGCAGGGACGCCCCTCGCTGGACAGTGCGTTAAGCGAGGCCAGAAGACTATTCGAAAGTAGCGCAGCAAGACCAAATGCTAAAAAAGTCTTGGTGATTATCTTAGATAAGCAGTCAGACACGCCTTCCAGCGTCACCCAATCAAGAGCCAATAGTGTAATTGATAAAGGTGTCAAGGTGATTCCGGTTGCCATTGGAAACGAAGTCGATCCAACACAGCTTTTGAATACGACTGATGACAATGAGAACATTATCAAGGAGCCAGATATTAGAGATCCAGAAAAACTGGGTGAAAAGATTATGGAAAAAGCTTTGAAAGGTAGGGTTTTACTCTGCCTAAGTATTACATATGCAAATACGGGCTTTTTAGTGTGCACAATTGGTAGCGCAACAGACGGGTGCGCGCGCAACCTGTAAGAATTTGTCAACAACACTTATTTCTAAAGGCTGATCTACACAGTACCATTTTTCCTCACAACTGTAGCGCGTAAAATGCTGACGACACGAATTGCTTTGTGTAAAGCTGTGTAAAACGAACGCAAAACTTTCTTATGGCATCTAGAACTTGGCGTAAGCATGTTGCGCGCGACAGTTGTGAGAAAAAATCGTGCCGTGTTAAATCGGCTTTATCGTTCTATAGGCTCACAAAATTTACAGCACAAGTCGTCAAATATTTATTTGTATTATACAAGCTTTCTAATGTATAAAAAACTCTATCTTAATGCGCAAAAAGTGCTTACCGATATTTATCGTATCACTTTAGATGTCGTGTGAGAAAATTATCTATGCTGCTAATTGCTCTAACTGCTCACAGCCAGCCATAGCACAGCAGCCAGCYTTTAGCAAAAAGAGGAAATTTACAAGCTTCTTGACGATACTTTTTTTTCATAAATGCTTTTTTATGTTTGACCCGAAAAACATTTTCATGAAATGACGTCGCTCTTAAAAGCTCTATATGCTGACATATAATCATTTTTTGTTTTATTTAGACACATATATTCTTTTTTGTTTGCCTTAAGAGAAAAAGCTCATCGAGGGGGCTCACTAATCATAATCATTTTTATTGCCACAGACACCGTAGATAGCCCCGAAATCGACCTGGTGTTTGCCCTTAGTGCTGTAGCTTCTCAAGCAGACGAGACGTTTGAGAAAATCAAAACAGCTGTCAATGAGGTCATCGACACGTTTGGTACCAAGAAACTCCGTTACGCTGTGTTAGTATACGGCAGCACCCCCACCACTGGTGCAACATTCACGGATAATTACCCCGATGTAAAATCCATCAAACAAGTAATCAACAATCTTCCTAGAAAATCCGGTGGGCCAGCGATAGATAGGGCCATGTTTGAAGTTAGAAGGTTATTCGTTAGTGGTAGATCAAATGCTCATAAGGTGTTAGTAATCGTGACGGACAAGCGGTCTAGCACGGGTGATCGTGACATGCGCAGTGCGGCTCAAGATCTCGAGGGGGATGGAGTTAAGATAATTGCTGTGGGGATTGGTAACGAGGCTGATGTGCCACGCCTGGACAAGCTATCACCAAAACCAGGTAACACCATCGCTTCTCCAAAGAATAAAAATCCTAAGAAGTTGGGCCAAGAAATCGCACAAAAGATTCTTGATGGTACGTATGTATTTATAATGCTCTAGACTTTTATAAAAAAGATTATTATTTTTGGACTATTTTTTGCGTGACACGGAAAAGTGTCACGATCCTAATATTTGAAATAAGATGACGATAACTAGGTGTTGTTTCATATAGTTTCCCAAACTATTTATACTTCGTTAGGGAATAAATATTACACAACCTGGCTTAATTTTAGTCTTTAAAACTGAAGTCCATTTATGCTTGACGCTCTATTAGTGTCAGTTTGATATTTTTTCATTCGTTTTTGTCTTAACTTATTGGTGATGGTTGGTTAAGTTGAAGAGACCAATTCAATGGCATGTTCCACCCTTGCGCATCACCATTCCCTGCCCAGAATGCTATTGTTGTCGTTTTTGCCCCAAATTGTTTGACAATCGAAAGAAAAAAAAAGAACATCAACATCATCCTGAGCAGGGAATGGGGATGCGCATGCGTGAAACATGCCATTTTTTCCATGGAAGTTCTGATTATATTCTTATATTCTTTAATTTCAGCTACTAAGGAGATACCAGAGACTGATCTCATCTTCGCCATAACAGCAACATCTACAGATAGCTACCAAACATTCCAAAAGGTTCAAGACACTATTAAATACATTATAGACAATTACGGTATTGACAAGATCCATTACGGTGCAATCGTTTTCGGAGATACGACGAGCAAACAATTCGGGTTCTCCGACAAGTTTCCGACTCCTTCCGATCTAAAACGAAGAGTTGACGGACTCCAGAGGCAGCTCGGCGGACCTGCTCTCGACAAAGCATTAGAAGCAGCTCGAGAGATGTTTCAAGGGGCGGGTTCTCGTCCTGGAGCACGACAGGTCCTGGTCGTAATTACAGACAAAAACTCTGGTTTGGATGAGCGCATTGTGACTGGTTCTGCTAAGGCCTTAGAACTGAAAGGCGTCCGTGTAATCCCTGTTGGCCTAGGGGGAGATATTAATCGTAAAGAACTTGAGAGTGTTACGCCTCACAATGATAATGTTATTAAAGAGCCGAAAAATATCGATCACGCGGAGCTTGGAGAAAAAATCATGGAGAAAGTTATTGAAGGTGGGTAGTTGTGAAAGTAGTTTTCCCTTTGTTGGCGACTCTTAAAACTCCAGTGAATCAAGTAGCTGCTTGTTTTTTTATTCTATTTTCTGCTTTTGTTAACCGACCTCAGAAGTGAGGCTAAGCCCGCATACGCTGGAGTTTTAAGAGTCGTCAATTGCAACCTTCCTTCCCATCTACCCATCCAGCCATTCTTTTTTTATCGTTAGTTCGTTGGTTCGTTCGTTCTTTCATGCACTCTGACTAAATAGCTTTTGAGAAAGATTTGACGCAATCAATCTATATGTCGCTATTTTCTGTTTTCTATCTTTTTATCTGACTGCATTACATCGCATTCCCATTCATTCTAACTTCCTTATTCTTAGATTTTATCTTTTGCTCCCTTCATTTATTTATAAATTAACTATGTTTATCTAATTCTCTCTTGAATATATTAATTCCATAGCGGTTTCGCCTGAACGTGCCCTTGATGTGGTCATCGCGATAAGTACTGTTGGAACCTACGCCCAGGAAAGTTTCAGCCAAGTGAAAGATATCATCAAGGAGCTGGTTGACAACCACCCTTTCAATTCCACCAAATATGGTATTATTTTCTATAGTGATATCACGTCTATCAAAGCAAGCTTTTCAGATGATTATCCGACCGAAGACGATTTCAAGAGATTAGTTGACAACATTCCTCGGAGCTCTGGTGGTTCTGTTATGGAGAGAGCTCTGGTGCAGGCTAAGAGAATGTTTGATGCAGGGTCGCGACCTAATGCAAAGAGAGTGCTTGTTATCTTCACTGATAAGGAATCTACAGGTAATCTTAAGATGATATCCCACTGACACAAAAATGCCATTTGTTTGCAACACCACATATTTGCCAGCATTTTTCTTCTTGTGTTTCGACGTCCGGAATTTAATGGCAGGTTTATTGTTGCTCGATCAGGATGTTTGGATGATGTTAATCCAGTACTTTCCATCAAAAGGGATCGAAAAGTAAAATCTATGCAAGCAATGCTAGCTTGGTGCCAATTATTTTTAACGCATGCGCAACATGTTTTGGTGAACCGTTTTCCCTTTAATGTTGATCRTAAGTGTGCCTTACGTAAGTTGGCCTTCCTTCGGATTATTCGAACCGCCATGTTTGAGTAAATCATTGGTAATAAGTATGATCAACTAGGATAAACAATCAAGCCTTTTCTCAGTTAGAAAAACAGGATGGATTGTAGTCTAGCTTCGGTACAAACAACACCATATAAAGCATGATGAACAAAAAAAGGTTTGTACCGAAGCTAGACTACAATGCACTTTGTTCTCTATCTCAGAACAGGTCTATAGTTTTGGGTATATAATGCAATCGACTAATAAAATCAAATGTTTTGAACAGGTGACACAGATGCAGCCAAGAATGCCTCCATCGATTTGGACAAATCGGGCGTGCAGATTATCGTGGTTACCATGAGGATGCCTATTATTCCACCAGGCTGTGAGACTGTTGCACCAGACAAGAAAAGCATCATCAAGACTGTGAAAAATGACGACTCGAAACTTGTTGCAGACAAAATCAGTGATCTGATGAAGAAAGGTAAATAAACATAAGAATCATTGATGTTGACTAATGAAACTTCACTGGATTTATGTTGGATATCTTTGTGTGGTAGCAATTTTAGAATCAAGACAATATTATAGAGTCTTGAAGTTAGAGTTATCATGATGTGGTAGGAACAAGTCGTTTGTTTTATTTTTACAACAGGGCGTAACGTCATTCAGGGGAGTCGATAAAATCAAGTTGATCTAACTAGGGGGTTCGTAGTTGTCATTTAGAGGGTTCGATCGTGATTTAGGGGGTTAGGGCGATCCTCCCCCCCTATGTCCGCCCTCTTGATTGATCCTATCTTTACGTATTTTTTGTTCCAGATGTCCAAAGGGTCCCACTCATCGACCTTGCCATTGCTATCAGCGCAACAGTATCAAACCCAGCCAAGACATTCAAACTAATGAAGAACACAATCCGCTCTATTATGGACCAATATGGCTCTGTCAAGATTCACTACAGTGTCGTAGTATTCGGAAGTGAACCAACTACCATGATTAAATTCATCGATAAATTCAGCATTTCTGATTTAAAGAGTCAAGTCCGAACGTTTCCTCGCAGCACCGGTGGCCCATCTATAACAAACGCTCTGGAGAGGGCTAAACAACTGTTTGAAGATCGCGGAGTTCGTGCTGATGCCCATAGAATACTTGTCGTGATAATCGATAATCAATCGAATGGAGACCCGAGGGACATTAATAAGCTGAATGGTGCAAAGGAACTGGAGAAGAAGAATGTTCTTATCATACCTGTAGGAGTAGGAACCGACGCGGATAAGAATGAACTGGAAAAGCTGACACCTTACAAAGAGAATGTCATTAGTAGACCAAGGCTTCCTGACCCGAGAGATCTGGCTACTGATGTGATCAATAAAGCTATTGAAGGCAACTATCTACTTATTTATTGTAGCTCAGTGGTTAGAGCATGGCACCGGAGTCGCAAGGGCACGGGTTCAAATCCCGTTAAAGACTCAGCATTTTTCTGAGTCTTATAATAATTAGCAGCTGCATAAGTTGCTTGATATACTGCGCAGATCAGCTCAATTAGATATATTTATTATTTAACTATATATATTTTAATTAATTAGTTAATTGGAACACAATATCTTGCTGCATAAGAATTTACGAACAGTTTCGCAAATATGTGAACTGTGATCATATTAAAATTTTTGTTTCCTTAGAGAATACAGGAACAATAGTCATAATTAAAGAACAAAAGCAATGTGAAAAGGATTATGGTCTAGAGACGGGGGTAAAACGTCATCTCGCTTCAGGCTTATTTGTACAACAACAACTGAATAGAGAAGTTAGGGACGAAATAGCTATCGTAGAAATTTGAATAGGAAACATTGTAGAAGCATTTTACATTTGAAATAATGATGATGATAATGATTAAAACGAGTGAGGCATAATGATTAAAACGAGTCAGGCAATGGGTATTTCGATAACTTATCATAATGTTGTGTATTTTAAAATCCAGCTATCAAGAGACCTCTAATGCCCGAAGTCGACCTTGCCTTCGTGATCAGTGCTGCGTCAAGAGATTCCTCCGAGATTTATCGTCAATGCAAACAAATCATCAAATCAGTCATAGACACTTACGGTATGGATAAAGTCAAAATTGCTGTGATAATATACGGGTCCGAACCAAGCACGCAGCTTACCTTCCTGGATGCGTCAAGTTTTCCAACAGATGAAAACCTAAAGAGCTACATAGACTCCTTGGCGGCTAGCTCTGGGGAGCCTAACTTGGTTAAAGCGCTAGGAAGAGCTGAAGATCTTTTCAACAGAGGAGGAAGGCCAAACGCTAAGAAGATTCTTGCTGTTATAAGTGACAAAAGGTTTGTTGGATTCAAGCTTTAAACCTTTAACATCATTCTTTGAAACTCGCTAAAAGAAGTAAATAACACCGCCAACATTAGAGAAACTGTTTTTAACTGGTTTCAAAGGTTTCAAAGGTTTCAAAGGTTTATTTTTTTCCCACATACAAAATTACAATTTTGAATTAGACATTCAGTAAAAAAAACAGTGGAAAGGTACAGAAATTACAGACATCTTTTCAAAACACGCTGAAAATTGAGTAATTGTGAATTTACCGGTAAACCCTGATTTCGATGATCGACACAAGCATATGTGTAACTATAGTATGATATAATAAGTATTGGTGTTGATAATAAAAATTGAATAATTTTGAGGAAAAAAAGTGACCCTTTTCTTCTTGGACGGTGAACACCTTTCACACTAGACATGTAAAATTTTGAGGTAAAAATAAAAAATAAAAAAAAAAAATTAAAAAAATCACACAATCATATATATTCCTGAGTAATACCAAGCACAAAACCTGTTAATACATTTCATGCTGCTTTCAATACCTTTTGAAGATCTGTAAGTACAACGAGAGATATAGAAGATACTGCAAAACCAATGCTTGCTGACAAGGTGAAGATAGTAGCAGTTTTGTTCGGAAGTGAAGGTAACCCTGAGCAGGCCCTTGCCGTAACTGGTGATAAAGAAAGCATTATTGAAGCTGTAACTACCGACGACCCGAAAGAAATTGCTGTGAAAATCATCCAAGAGGGACTTAAAGGTAATCGAAGCAGCATTTTTGTTAGACTCCTGTCGTTTCGTGTCTTCTTTTCTCCTTTCTTCTCGTTTTGTTTCATTTCCTCTCGACTCGTCTCGTCTCGTCTCGTGTCTCTTCCCTTTCCTTCCTTTTTCTTTCCTTTCCCCTCCTCTTCTCTACTCTCCTCTCCTCTAAATCCAAATTCAAAACTTTGTTATAATTACTTTCATTTATTCTTACTTTCCTGTCAAGTAATAGTTACCAACTAAAAACAAAATGTTACCTTTTTTCAGATCCTCCACCCCAGATTCCAGATGTAGATCTTGTCTTTGCATTGAGTGCAACTGCGGCATCTGCAGGCCAGAACTTTCAAGAGATGAAGGATGTCGTCAAAGGAATGATTGATAAATACAAGATAGGAAAGGTCAAATATGGACTGATCGTGTTTGGGGGTATTGCAACGACTAAGGTTTGCTTGTTTCTTGTGTTTGTATTGATTTTCAGTGACTTTTTTGGGTTTTTATTGTTGGAAGTTAATTTTATTCTTTTTTCTTCGTTACGAATACACACCTCAAGAAGAGCAAAATTTGAACTAATACAAACATTTGTGACATCCATTGACGTTTAGCGAAATTTATGATAATATTGCCTAAGTATTATGCAATGAAAGTATGAATGACAACTGGAAACAGCAAAAGCAACAATTGTTACAGCGTTAAGTCAAGTCAAGTGTTGTTATAAGTGGTAACATCAGCAACATCAGCAGCAGCAGTAATAATAACAGCTGCAAAAACAAAAAATAAAACAAAAACACAGCAGCAACAACACTAACAAGCTAAGCAGCAAAAAGATCGTTAACAACAATATCAGAAAACAGTCACTCCAGTAGCAACATCAACGACAAATGCTTTTCAACATAGCTTGTTTCTTTATTTCAAATATTCCTAGATCAACTTGAACGAGAACTTTAATCTTAACACCCTCAAAGACTCCATCAGTGCATTCCCACGTACAAGCGGTGGTCCAGCATACGATGAGGCCATAAAAGAAGCAGCCAAAATATTCTCCAGTCCTGCATCGCGTCCTCGAGCTAAGAAGATCCTGGTGATGATTGTTGACAAAAGATCTACAAGTGATCCTTCGTTGATAAAAGAAAAAGCTAAGGAACTTGAGTCTTCTGGAGTACTGGTGATCCCTGTAGGTGTCGGAGATGAAGTGAGGAAACCTGACATTGCTATCTGTACTTCTTATCCAGGACTAGTTACTCCAATACCTATAATCGTAACTGATGAAGCTGTTAAGCAGATTGATGACAAGTTTATAAAAGCCTTAAAAGGTATGGATTTTGTTCTTTTTTTCTAGCTTAAGCTTAATTTTCTTAATTTGGAAGTGATCTTTTCATTTATGGGGGTCCATTTTTACACAACTATTTGTCTCTTGATCTATTAGTGCAATTGCTCCCATTTTTTATTTATCTTACGTCTGATATCAGAAGTTTTCGCCGAGTATCGCGCCTTAGTAAGTGTCTTAGGTTGGTTATTCTCAATGGATTGCATCACAGCATATTTCATCTTTATGTGCAGACACTGGTTGTCTTGATAATAAAACCAGGAACATATTAAAATATCCATCATGCAGCAAAGAACAATCTCTTTTTCTCTTCAGAACAACCTGATCTGCCGGAAGTAGATTTGGCTTTTGCATTAAGCGCTACATCCTCAAGACCGGATGCCACCTTCACCAAAATGAAAGATGTGGTCCAAGACATGATTGCTCGTTATGGTATTGGTAAAGTACATTATGGGCTGGTCACGTTTGGGGAAACTGCGTCTACTTCAATCAGCTTTGGGGACACCAATGACCCGAGAGTTCTCGTTCAATCTATTGATTCAATTGCAAGAATAAGAGGTGGTCCCGATCTTGACAAAGCGATCCAGGAATTGACTAAACTATTTGATAGTCCCGCTTCCAAAGCAAGACCAAAAGCTAAGAAGGTCGCTGTTGTGATTATTGACAAAGACTCTACAACAGATGAAAATGTTATCAAGTCTAAAGCAAATAATCTGGCTAAAGATGGCATTTTTGTGATCCCTGTTGCTATTGGCGACGATACAGATGATGATCAAATCACATCCCTGACTGATTCTCCTGATCGAGTTGTAAAGACAAAGAAAACTGAGCCAACTAAAGATCTGACTGATAAGGTTGACGAGCAGTTCAAGAAAGCAATCAAAGGTAAACGGGTTTTGCCTCTTTTTTGGTAGAGCAATGCTCATGCTCATAATTTCTATTCAACTGTCTTAAGAAAAAAATGCAAATGCGATTCTTAAACTTACCTAACAAAATGAGTTTACAAAATTCCAAAACTGGTACATTATTTTGATCTGAAGTGTTCGAAGTGAATACTATTAGCACTACAACTTACCTTTACATTTATATATATTGCTTTTTAGCGCTACGCGGTCCATTTTACTCAGTCATGTATAAATTCGTACTCCACAGGTGGTCCACCTCAGGTTCATGAGATAGATCTTGTGTTCGCATTGAGTGCAACCGCGGCATCTGCAGGCCAGAACTTTCAAGAGATGAAGGATGTCGTCAAAGGAATGATTGATAAATACAAGATAGGAAAGGTCAAATATGGACTGATCGTGTTTGGGGATCTCGCAGTCACTAAGGTTCGTGATGGAACCTAAATTTGGCTCTTGGACTATTGATGTTATATTTTTATCATTGTATTTTGGAGTATTTCCCGTCCGAGTAAGAGACCATCGAAAAATGTTTAGGGGACGAGATTTGGGCTTTCCTTTTCTCTTTACTACTGTGGAAGGGAATGACTGGTTAACTCTCTATGTATTGAGTATATTGTAGTGAGGTTCCAAATCATCAATCAAATTCAACTCCCAAATGAGCCAGCCTGAGTTGGTGCTCGAACCTGGATCCCATCGGTGAGAGGAGAAGCGTAAACCACTACGCTACCCATGTCACCCATGCCACCCTTAATRAGATGATCGCATGTTCCATAAATTTGCTTTGTTTTACTTGCAGATCAACCTCAATGAGAAGTTTGATATAGAAGGTCTTAAAAATTTCGTCGGCGTTGTTCCTCGTACAAGTGGTGGTCCAGCATACGATGAGGCCATAAAAGAAGCAGCTAGAATCTTTTCCAGTCCTGCATCACGTCCTCGAGCTAAGAAGATCCTGGTGATGATTGTAGACAAGAGATCTACAAGTGATCCTTCGTTGATAAAAGAAAAAGCTAAGGAACTTGAGTCTTCTGGAGTACTGGTGATCCCTGTAGGTGTGGGAGACGAAGTGAGGAAACCTGACATTGCTATCTGTACTTCTTATCCAGAACTAGTTACTCCAATACCTATAATTGTATCAACTGATGAAGCTGTTAAGAAGATTGATGCCAAGTTTAAGAAGGCACTGGGAAGTATGTCAAAATACTTTATTTTTTCATTCTATCTTACTTCTTCCTTTTTCTCCTCTATGTCTTTCTTTCTTTTTGTTTTTGTTTGCTTTTGTGTTTCCTTCTTTTCTTTTTTTCTTA